TGAGGGTTCTTTATTGTGGTTGTTTTTAATGGCAGCCCTCCTAGAGGGTGTGAAGTAGCTCCTCGTGTGGTTTTGCTTGCATTTCCCTGATGACTAATGACGGTGAGCATCTTTTCATGTGCTTCTCGGCCTTTTGCAATCTCGTACTTTAGCCCTTTGGCCGTTTTTGTGATCAGGCTCTGAGAGGGTGTGGTAAGCTGTAGTAAGCCTCAGTCTCCTCATTGTAAGACGGGAGGCATGGTCGCACGTCCCTGTGGAAGAGTGGCTAACTGTCCTGGTTTTAGCAATAAAAGCTCTGCGTTCTCAAAGCGGGACAGTTGGTCAGCACCCGAGGGGAGACGGAGATGGGCACGGAAGGCCTTTGGGCCACATCTCAGGCCATGGTGGCTGCTATTCTTTATAATCCTTGAAAATATGTGCTCATGGTGGAGGAATTTGAGTGTGAAAAATCCAAAGGCAGAAATAAGTCACCAGCAGCCTACATTGTAACACATTTTCAAGGATTTTCAATTCTTTTTAGGTGCTACAACCTTGAGCATGTTCCTATGTGCAGGGGAGGGGGGAAGTAACAATCATTATTTCATTATGAGTATTTACTGAGTGCTCATTACACAGGAGTGGCAGAAGGAGAAGTTGCAGGCACAGGAAGCAGGAGACAGCTGGTGGCAGAGGGTCCCTCAGAGGCAGGACAGCAGGACAGAAGGGATCTGGGCTGACGGGGAGGTTTCCAAGAATGAACCCGCTTCCAGGGCCTGCCTCTCCTCGAAAGGCGTGTGCATTTCCCAGCCTCAGTTCCAGGCTGGGAGTGGCCTGCCCAGGGCCTCCTGGAGCCCAGGAGACTTTCCACTTCCCCTTACTGGCTTCCAGTGGGCTCTGCCTCATTCTGAGCCAAGCTCCTAAACCCTTATATTGAGCCACCCATTCAACCTTGTGTTGAGCATCCCTGGGTCAGGCCTTGGCTGTCACTGCGGATCCTCCCATCAAAGAACCTGGGATTCCCTAAGAAGCTCTGGAGCAGATGAACTTGACCACCAGGAACCTGGCAGCCTGAGAGTCCTGATGAGGAAGCACACAGAGTGGGGTTGTTCCTGGTGGGAGACCCTACATTCTGGAATGCAGGTCAGGACCAAAGTAACCCTCAGTCAAAGCAGGCAGTGAATCCTAGAGATGCCCAGTACAGCCTGTCGAAGCCCTTGCGCATCTCTTTCTGTCATAAGGACACCACATCTGGGCAACTTCTGGCAGATTAGATCTTCTCTGTGTGGCTCCAGACTATGAGGCCTGGGCCAGTTTGTAAAAGTAATGGGGAGGTGGGCTTGGGTTAGCTGTCAGGAAGAACTTTCTAACCACTCGAGTGACATCAGAGTGCAAGGTGCTGCTGTAGGGGCAGTGAGCAACCAACCTATCCCTGGAGGTGGTCAGAAGGAGATGGGAGACCTAGCAGATGGCGGTAGGTCTTTCTGGTCCTGCCAACTGGTGTTCATGGCCTTGTGTGGTCATCTCCTGTGTTAGTGTTTTCTGTTACAAAATACCTGAGGCTAGGTAATGTATAGAACAGACATTTATTTAGCTCACCATTTGGAGGTTGAATGTCTGAGACTGGGAGGGCCCACTGATTTGGCCCCTGCTGGAAGGACAATGTATAAGAGAGAGAGACCACGGGTTGTGGTAGGAAGCCAGAGCAAGACTGGGGTCCTGTGAGAAGTATGCTAATCCCTTCCAAGAGTATGTGCCCAATGACCTGCCACTAAGCTCCGCCTCTTAAAGGTCCCACCACCTCCGCACCTGAACCCTTAAGGGACAAACGACATCTAAGCCATAGCACCTCCTTTGAAATGTGAGCAGTGCCTGGGACTTTAACCAACATAATACAGCAAAGGCCGTAGGATGTCACTCCAGCGATTACTGAGACTGTAACATCTGTCTTGCCTGGAGACTCTTCTCTAGCTGGCTTCTCAGTGGCCATGCTGGGGAGACCCCACAGAGCAAGGAACAAAAGGTGGCCTCTGGCCAACAGCCACCAAGAAACTGGGGCCCTTAGCGCAGCAGGCCACAAGCAACAGAACGCTGGCAACAACCATGTGGACTGGAGTCAGGTTCTTCCCTGGCTGAGCCTCAGACAAGACTGAGCTGCGGCTTTGATCAAAGCCCTGACCTTGATCCCAGCTTTCGGCTGAGATCCTGCAGCAGGAGCCCCAGCTGAGTCACATCAGTCTCCTCCTGACCCACAGAGACGGAGAGATAACAGTTGTGTGTTCTTTGAAGCTGACGTTGTTGCCACCGGAGCCGCTGGTAACCAAAACAAGATGTTGTCAAGGAACTGTGTGCATCAGCCAGAAAACCAGTCTCTCTCTCTTTTCCATGCTGGGATTGAACCCAGGGATAGTCTCCTAAAGTTGCATCTCCAGCTCCTTTTCATTTTTTAAAATTTTGAGCTAGGGTCTTGCTAAGTTGCCCAGGCTGGCCTTGAACTTGCACTCCTCCTGCCTCAGCTTCCCAAGTAGCTGGAATTACAAGTGTGTGCACCACCATGCCTGGTCCAGACTGGCTGTCTTAGAAAGTCCCCTCCCGGCCTGGAGAGTTCATGACCACACCTTGCTCACTTTGTTCTGTGTTGTGCTTAGCCAGGGACTCGTGGCACAGCTGGGTATGGAAGTGTTGCCTTAGCCTGTGTTCCTGCCTCAGGGAAGCAGCCTGGCTGACGACAAGCAGGATGTGCCTGAGCGCTCTGATTGGAGGCCAGAAGCCAGGTCGGGCTCCCTCCAGCTCTCCCTCCCCCTATGACTTTGGGCAAGGCTGTCTGGGCTCAGGGTACCTCATCCATCAAACAGGGGACCTGCCCACCCGCAGGTTGGTGCAGGTCAAATGAGCTAACATGACGGCCTGTTAAGAAGCCCACAGAGGTAAGGGATTGTTATTATTTGTTAGGAAATGTCACAAGCATTCCTGCTGCTTGACTCATGAGGCTCTGAGACTTGAGAGTTTCCCTTCCAAATAAGGCTTTTCTTGGGAGTCCCAGGTCTCCGGGCCAGGACTGAAGGCCGTGCTGCTCCCACCGGCCCTTCCTTCTCTCTCTGCAGAGAAACCATGCCGAGATATGAGTACCTGTCTGTGGATGCCAGAGGATGTCTGTTCCCCAGCACTCACCGTGCGTGCGGCTTGGCCTCAGGGCCAGGCAGGCAAAGGGCATCTTCTTCATGAATACGGGTGGGCACCACAGGCTGGCTTCTGAGTTACAAGGCAGAGGCAGATAGGATAGGACAGTGGCAGGGAAGTGACAGATTTTCTCACCAGGATGTCAGAGGTCAGTGCCTTTGCAGATTAACTCTCCACCCTTTGCGGCAAATCTTGGCGCAGATCAAAACTTCAATTTCATTGTGGAGGCAAATTTGCTATAAGAGCTGCCAACACTGTTTTCTGCTCTTGAGCTGGAGCTCTTGTGACTTTCTGGGCTGTCAGGCAGTTGGAGACTGACAGAAAGGCACTTGATATGTGTTAGCTATGATGTTCTGTTGCTTTCATTAACTATTTAAGAGTTGGTGACCTTTTCACTTATTTATCTATTTTTAATACACTGAGTGACTATTATATGCAAGTATTATCTCAGGTTTACAATAATGAGCAAAATCGTCTTTGTATTCCTGGGGCACGTGTGCCACTAGGAGACAGATAAATATCCACGTTGTCATCTGGCATCGAATGCTACCAAGAACAATGCAGCGGAGAGAGAAATGTGTGAAAGGCAAAAGTTTTTCTCTTAGGTCAGCCATCGACAAGCTATGGCCCATTGTAATCTGTGTTTATAAATAAAGTTTAATTGGGAACACAGCCCTGCTCCTCTAATTATGCATCGGGTGTGACCATTTTTGAGTTGAGGACTTGCCAGAGACTGTTCGGGTTGCAAAGCTGAAAATGTTTAGCATCTGGCCCTTCACAGAAAAAAGTTCACCAACCCATGCAGCCAGTGCGGACAGGGAGGGCAGGGGAGAGGGTGGAGCAGACGTTGTGGGTAAAGGGTTGAGAAGTGGGAACTGCAAGTTCCATGCCCAGGCAGGGGAAGGTGCCAGGCAGGTGGGGGACAGCTGGGAGGCTGGAGGGAGCCAGCAAAGGGGTCTTCAGGGGTCAGAAGCTGTCGTGCTGGAGCCGGACATGTGCAGACACTGTGGGGGCAGGGGCTGGGGGGTACTTGGGGTCTGTGCAGGGAGCGAGGTGGGGAATGTAGTAATCTGGTTGTCTTGAAACCCAGCAACAGGTTGGGTGACGCATTAGTCAGCTTTGCTGAACATTATACCACCCACAACTCCAAGGAGGAGGGTTTTATTTGTCTCACAGTTTAGGGGATTCAGTCCATGGTTAACAGGCTCCAAGGCATGAACATCATGGCAGAAGGGCATGGTGCAGCAAAGCTGCTCAGTTCATGGCAGCCAGGAAGCAGATCAGGGGAACAGTGCCAGAGAGGAAGGATGGGGGAGCATATATAATACCCCAAGGCTGTGTTCTCATGAGCTGCCTAGACACATCTGGAAGTGTGGTCTAATAATTTGCAAGGTGTCTCTTGAGCCAGTGAAGTTGACATATCAGGATTAACCGTCACAGGGGAAGATAAGGAGGGGCCGATCTAGACAAACTTAGAAGGCAAGACTGCCAGGCCTTGCTGAGCCCCAAGAGTACATGTATGTCTATTTTTAATGCCTGGGAGTGTTTGGTGGATGGATGAATGAATGAAGTGGCTTTCCAGAGATCCTAGCACCGTGCCAAGAGAGCAGCCAGCCTCTTGCTTACCTGGCCCCAGATGAGTGCTAGCCCGGGGACACAGCATCACCAGTCCCTCAGACTCCCAGTGGCCATCAAAATCAAGTCCACATCTCCCACCCCTTGTGGTCCAGGCCAGGATTTCCTCTTGTTCAGATTTCCCCTTAGAGCCCTTAGGTTAACCACAGGGGCAAAATAGCAGGGACCCTCCAAATTCACTAGACTCTCACCCCATTCTGCTTCCCCAGGCTATGAGACCAGACTTGCAGGGGAAAGCTGGAGTGGAATCCCAGAGGAGCTCTTGGGAAGGCTTTCATCACCTCTAATGATCTAATATCAACAACAGCCTCCTAATAGGTAATCTCTGCATTACTGTATTTACACTAATTAGTTAATATCCGCAGAGTGCCAATCCTGAGATCAGCACACAGGAGAGCGATTCATAGCAGAAGGGGAGACAGCCCAAGTCCCCAGGCCATCGCCCTCCTGGCGTGTGAACAGGGGCTGCAGGCTCCCACCAGCATCCTGGTGGGTGAGATTTCTTGGGAGAGGGAGCTGAGCCCTGCTGTCAGCTTGCCGTGGGTGGCCCTGTCCCTGTCTTGTGGTTAGGTTGTGCCTCTGGGACCCTCCCAGTGCTGCAGTCACAGTATGAGCCCCCACCTACTCCATCTCTGCCCTCCTCCCCAGGCCTGGCTTCAGGCCTGTGTATGGGGGACCTGGACAGCCTGAGATCAGGGCCAAGTCCTGCCCTGGAGATGCTCCAGGCAGGAGCCTGGAAACCAGGTGGGAACTGTGAGGTGTACTTCACCAAGCTCAGTAGTATATAGATGGATTTGTCTCCTTGTGGATGGTTAGAGGGATTCGTGGTACCTTGCAGGGCCAAGACTCCGGGAGAGGCATTGGTCTGGGACTCCACCTGTCCTTGAGGTTGGGGGAAGACAGAACTGTGAGCTGGGGAAATAAGGGGGAGCTTAAATCGTGCCCACTCTCAGAGAGAAACAAGATCCCCTTTTGGAAAGGCTGTAGAGATCCTTCACTTATTTTTAAAAAATAGTTGCTTTGAGATATAATCCATATACTATATGTTATGGGCTGAATTGTGTCCTTCAAAAACTCATGTTGATGCCCTTCCCCCCAGAATTACCCCAGAATGTGACTGTATTGGCGGACAGGGCCTCCAAGAGGTGCTTAAATTAAAAAGACGCCATCAGGATGAGCCTACTCCAGTATGACTAGTATCCTCATAAAAGAGGGAATTTGGACCCACAAAGAGACCCCAGAGACACCCACAGAGGGACTACCATGTGGGGAGGAGGGGAGGGACGGCCTGGGGAGCCCCCTGCCAACAGCTTGATCTGGGTCTTCCAGACTCCAGAACCCCAAGAAGACAAATTTCCGTGGTTTCAGCCACTTGGTCTGTTATCCTATTAGGACAGAAGACTAACACCCTACACAGTTCCGCATCAGCCATCCAGTTCAAAGGGTTTTATGTGTTCACCCGTATCCATGGCCATCACTCATCAATGCCAGGGCATTTCATCCCCTCAGAAAGAAACTTTGTGCCCTTTACTGTCCCCCTTGCCCCATCCCCTCTCCCTTCACCCTAAGCAACCGCTAATCTGCTTTCCATCTCTCCAGACCCTTCCTGTGAATGGGCGCACGTGACATATGGCCTCTGCATGTGGATCTGCTCACCCAGCCGCTTGTTCGCAGGGCTCATCGTGTTGGAGCCTGGGTCTGAATTTCCTTATGTCCCCACATGGCCCAATGATGCTTTGTGTATCCGTGTGTCGGTGGGCAGACATTGGCGCTATTTCTACTTTCTAGCTGTGTGACTAATGCTGCTGTGAACATTTGTGGGCAAATTTTGATTTGAACGCAATACTTTCATTCCTCCTGGGTATAATCCGGAAGTGGAATTGCCCAGTCGTGTGGTACCTGGGTGAAGATTTCGAGTCATTGCAGGGACAGGCTGCAGCAGCAGGTGATAGGGTTCCTCTAGGGTTACTCGGCAAGTGGCCTGGGGCAGTTGTCACAGACAGAGCCCTGGGGCACTTTTGAATCAGCTCCAGGGTGAACTGGGCAAGGCCAGAGGGACCGGGGGAGGGTGGGGAGGAACCTGGACAGAGCCTGAAAGCCCTGTCTTCAAATCTTGCCCAAGAACTTGAAAGTCTGCCAACTAGAGATCCATCCCTGTTAAAGGACAATCTTGACAGAAGATAAGATCATGAAAATCATATGAATAGAAATTGAATACATGCCAAGAATTTAACTCCTCAATGACGGAATGAGATTCAAAGGGAGGACACGGGCATCTGGAATGCAGAGTCAGTCTGCAAACAGGCTGGGCTGGTCTGTAACCACAGTGGTCTGTTGTGTCAATTGGATCCACTGGCCATAACTCATACCCGAGTCTCTGTGGATGAGGGTTGTTTGTATCATTGTAAGCTTGCTACAACTTACACAGTGACCCCAGTGCTGAGCAGGACACTGAGTGACTCTAATCTTTGGCCAAGAGGGCAGTGTGAGGAGCCAACTCTACCTTCCTGACATCTTTGAGGCCCCAGCAGGACAGCATTCAGGGCTTGGGTGCTTAGAGGGCCTGGAGTCATCTCAGAAGCTTGATGGTCTCCAAGCAAGCCCTACGGGTCTGCTGGAGAGTACAGCTGGGGAAGACACCTTCTGGTGACAGGGGGAGGGGGACAGCTCTGGAGGTCACCTGCAGAGAGAGGATGGAGCATTGCCTACCTGGTTCAGTCCAGCCAGCCTCATTTATGGGGAGTGGGTGGCAGTAGGTCCATGAATTTTGGAGTCAAAGGCACTACGTTGTCACTGGGACATTAGATTCCAAACTGCAATGCAAAGAAGAAAGTGTGGTTTCCCAGGCTTCCTTTGTGGTCAGTGCTGTTTGTAGCTAGACAATGTTTCTTCACAAGCTGCTTGGGGTGGCAGGGTGCTGAGGTTGTGGGCGAGGTGCCCCAGAGATCAGGGCTGAGGACCAACCTCATGGGCAGGCTCCCCCTGCAAGAGGTCCCGTTAGCTTCTGACTGCAGAGGACCAAGGCTGCCCAGCTGCCTTCCTGTCCTCTTCTGTGCCTCCTTAGCCCTCATCTGAATAAATGTACAGTGAATACTTCCAAAGATCAGATGCAAGGGATGTACTCTGTTAGCTTCTCCATGGTACAAATTACCACCTGCATGGGGGACCCAAGAAGTCTTGGTCCTGTACTTGAGGTCTCTGTGTAACCTTATCTGTATCTGCTTTGGTGACGTTTGATGCCTCAAGTAAGGAGGACCTCAGCACTTTAATGATAGCCCATGACACCCTGAGGCAGTCAGGGCTGTGACAGTATTCGCTCACATACAAGACTGAAAATCTATTTCTGGAGCTTTAGTACAGTATACATCTCAGTTTCATCCCTTGGGGTCATGTGGAATGCAACCCCCAGTGCTGTCACACTAGGAGCTGGGGCCTTTGGGGGTGACTGAGTCACACGAAGGCTGAGTGAGGCTTCATGAATGGTTTTGTCACCTGAGTCAAAGGATGTGGGGCTGGTGCGCTCCCTGGCCCTTCTGCTTCAGCCTCTGTCTTGGAGCAGAGAGAAGCCTCTCACAGGTACGGATCCCCAAACCTTGACTTTGGGCTTCCCAGCCTCCAGAACTGGAAGAAATAAATTTATGTCCTTTTTAAAAAAAAAATTATTTTGACTCAGGGTCTTGCTAAATTGTCCATGCTGGGCTCAAATGTATGATCCTCCCACCTCAGTCTCTCAGGAAACTAAGATAAATTAACGTTCTTCACACACCACCCAGTCTCAGGTATTTCATTATAGCAGCACACATGGGCTAAGATAGGGCCACTCAGAAGAAATTCATTTTCCTTGTAGCAGCACAAATTCTTAGAGAAAGGCTTTTGTCCCTCTTGAGTTTGTTTTCTTTGGTCCTAGATGTTTTTCAGGGAGCCTAATCTCAAGTTCCCTTACCTTCCTGGTTAGTGCACATTAATTTGGTTTAGTCTCTGCCCTCTACTCTCCCTGTATGAGAACTAAATATTTGGCCAAGGAGTGTCAGATGGGCTGAAGGCCCTGAAAGCCAAGGGTATGACTCAGTCTATGTCCAAAGGCCCGAAAACCAGGGAGCCGAGGATGAGTCCCTGGCAGAGGGCCTGGAACAGGGTGGGCAGGGGCCAGCGCACTGGTATACGTGCTGACATTTGGGGGACTCAGGAGCTTTGGTGTCTTCTGGTGTCAAGGGCAGCAGAAGATGGACAACCTTGGCTCAAGTGGGGAGAGAAAATGTGCTCTCCTGCCACCCTTCTGTTCTATCTGCCTCAGTGGAACCACTGATGGCTGCCCAGCTCTTTACTCAGTGTATTGGTCAGCTTTCACATTGCTGGGACATAATACCTGACCTGAGAGTTTCAGTTTGTTCATTCTGGAAGCCAGGGTGCAGCCGGCTGGTTGCAGAGTGCTGTGTGGTCTTGGTTTATCTATGGGAATTGACTGGCTCAGGCTGCTGATACAGTCTGGGGTGATGGTTTAGCTCAGGTGTCAACTTCCCCAGGTTCATGGATACCAGATGTTACTTTTGGGTGTTTCCAGAAGAGACTGGCATCTGAATCAGTAGACTGAGTATGACAGGGCAGAGTGTCAACTTGATTGGCTTTGGGCGCCACCCAGGGAATTAAAGGACCACATTGGGTGGGTGGTGGGAGTGTGACCTTGGGCACTGTATCTAGTCCCTCACCCCTTCCTCTCTGGTACTCTTCCTCTGTTCTGCTTCTCAGTTGTCAAGAACTAAATATCTTTGCTCCACCATGATACTCCTGCCTTGGAGCCAGCTGACCATGGACTGACTCCCCTGAAACCATGAGCCAAATTAAACCTCTCCTCCTTTAAATCTGGCATCTATGAATCTGGGCAAGTTGACACCTGAGTTTAACCATCACCCCAGACTGCAACAGCAGCCTGAGCCGTTACTTTCCTCCCATCTTACTTTGGACTCCCTGAAAAGCAGAGCCTGGCTCCAGTACTTGCCTCTAAGGACACTTGGCCCTTGTACACATGGGTTCTGCCTCTGTAGATTCAACCAATGGTGGAAAGAAGATGTTTGGGGAAGAAATACCCCACAACAATAAAAAAAAGAATAATGCAACAATGAAAATGATACAGGTAAAAAGAAAATCAATATAATAACTAGTTACATAGCATTACAATATATTAGGCATATAATAAGTCACCTGGAAATGATTTGAAGTGCACTGGAGGCAGTTTTTTTGGGTTTTTTTTTTTTGGTATGGGGGAGTGAACCCAAGGCCTTTGTATTGAGCTACATCTAGCCCTTTTTACCCTTTTATTTTATTTTATAATTTTTGGTATCGGGGATCAAACTCGGGACCTTGCACTTGCAAGGCAGGTGGTGGCACCACTGAGCTAAATCCCTGGCCCTTTACCTTTTTATGTTGAGACAAGGTCTTGCTAAGGTGCCCAAGCTGGGCTTCGACTTGCAATGTCCCTGCCTCAGGCTCCCAGAGCGTTTGGATTATAGGTGTGTACCACCATGTCTGAACGCATATGCCATTTTATATAAGGGTTTTAAGCACTTGAAGATGTTGATATTCTCGGGGGACCTGGAACCAGATACCCCTGGCTACCAGGTTATCTTCTCCGGGTAAAAGGTAGCTGGGTTGGGTTTGGAATGAGAGCTGCTTTTGGGGGACACTTTTGGGGCCTGCACTGCCATCCCAGGATGAGAGACTCAGGCATGGGGAAGATTGACGTGCCCAGAGACGGGCTGCAGGCCCGAGGCTGTTGCTGCTGGTGCCTGGCATATGTGCCTTCCCTATCCCCTACCTAGGTAGAGCCAAGTGGCCCTCACTCACCTCATCTCCTCCTTGAATTTCCCCAGAGGAGTTGGCAGGTGGCGACTGTCCCTTGTCCTCTCAGTGGGCTAGGGCACTGTCCTGTCAACTGATCATGGCGAAGGTGCCAACTGTACCCTTCACTGACCTCCCCGGAGCAGAGGCTGGAGCGAGAGACTCGGCCTGCCTGGGACAGGCAGCTGGCAGCTGGAGGGAGTGTGCTGGGCCTGTGAGGGCGGGAGCTCCAGCATTGGTACCTGGCCACCAGAGGAGGGAGAAGGGCCAACTCCAGACATGCTTTCGCTCCTGGAGGGTGAACGTGAAACACTCACACATGGGATATGGATTCTCCAAGGAGGGAAAGGGTCCCTGAGGCGGGAGGGGTGCATTCCAGGCTGGGCCTGCAGGCTGCACAAGCTTACTGATAGGCTTTCAGAACTGGACCCCAACCCGGTGTGCTGAGGGGAGATGGGGACCGGGGGAGCAGGCGGCCTTGGGGTGTGTTCTGGGCTTCTTTCTCTCTCACTCACAGACCATCTGCATTGGTCCTGCCCTGTCCTGCTCTGATCCAGACGTCCAGGGGGCCTGCCGCTCTGGCTCCAACTCCAGCTCTGGATCGGAGAAGCTGAGGCCTCCTCAGCCCCGGACTGGGAAGGCCTTTTGGCACACTGTCAGGAGCCGGCCCGGCATGGCCAGGGAGGTCTGATGAGGAGAATAACAATCCCCAAGGGGTGGGCACTGTTCCCATTTTAATCTTTCCCTTTTGGCAGAAACTAACTTTTCTGTAACAACAATGAAAAATCAGGGTGGAGTTTCCGCCTCCAGACGTTCAGCACCCCAGGAGTTCTGTGGCTGAAGGCAGCTGGTTCTGGAGGAGGGTGCCCCAGTCACCGGGTGGCCAGCCAGGCTGCTTGCCTGTGTCCCTGCTGTCCTGAGGGGCCCCTGGCATGCAGATGGCCACACTGTGGCCTAGCCCTCAGGGTTCGCTGTTCCCTCACAGTGTCAGCCTGGCTGAGCCACAGTTCTGCGGAACTGTGGAGAGCAGGCTGGACAATGTGGCCAGGCAGGGAGGGAGGTTGCGGTTAGCAGGTCCATCTCACCCAACTCCTCGTGTCAGATATCTGTCCTGCAGTGGCTCCATGCTGGCCACACCCTGGAGACTCAGCTCTGAGCTGGCATTCTGGGGGACCCTGGGTCCCTTGCTGGGCTTCCTGGCTTCCCTTCAGGTTTCACACTGCTGCTCTTAGTTGCAGTTCAGACAACTTGGTCAAAAGTCTTGCCTCTGTGCTGGTTGGCAGCATCTGGCAGATTTCAGAGTCAAATTGTGGAGGGAAAGAACCTCTAGGAACTGAGGTCCCCAGAGTAGCTTGGGGGTGCAGAACCCCAGGCCCTGGGCCTTGGGCAGAGCAGACTCAGCAAAAAGGAAACTGGGTGAGGACTAGGGCAGGTGAGGTTTGGGAGCCCAGAACTGCCTGGGAAGAGGCGCCCCTCAGAGGGCACTCTGGGGGTAGCCTCTTTCAACCCTCACCAGTCTGCTCTTCCTTTGTGCCCTGAGGCTGGGCCTAGCAGCATCCTCCTCTTTGCGTTTTTGTAACACAGTTCCACCTGCAAGGAAAGCCTCTAGAATGAGGCTCTTTGAGGATGGGGCAGAGGGACACATTCCTCCGAGTGACAGATGGGGCACTCTGGCCCACAGCCACGATGGAGTCCCTGAGAAGAGGTCAGGGATTCAGAGCTTGGCTGGGGTGAAAGGCCTCAAGAGTCTAAGGACAGGCTTGACATTGTGCAGGTGGGGAAACTAAGGAACAAGAAGGAAACTTGCTCAGGGCCACTCGCGGGTTCCAACTGAGGACTAGAATGGTGGTCCAGGGCTCTTGGCTCTCAGAGCTGCCTTTCCCACTCAGCACGCCAACCAGGCCCAGATGGGGAAACACACCCATGTTCACACATGGGCACACACACGGGCACACACATGCACACCAGCTGGTCCTGTTGTCAGCAGAGCCAACTTAGAGAGCTGGGTGGAGGGCAGAAGCCCCCTGAGGCTGTGGTCCCTGGGGGCTGGTGGAGGCCATGCCACCAGCAGCCGGGAGGCTCCAGAAGCTGAGTCTCCTACAGATGCAGTTCTTTGTTTCCATTAGAGGAAGATTTCAATTAAAATAATTACAGATACAACAAAAAAAAATCACAGAAGAGAGTGAGGAAAAGGGAGTTCAGTTAAATGCAAATATATTCAGAATGATATTATGAAATCTGCTCACCCCCTATGAAATTACCCATTAACGATTACACGCTAATTATCCACCTTTTCATTGTTTTAGGGAGGAAGAGATTCATTCTCGCTAGAACTGAATAGATACCTGGAAAATCATGCCACACACTTCACGGTGGACCAGAACACCCCCTACCCTTTGATTAAATCACTGGGACGTTGAAATGGTTCTGCAGAGCTGAGAGTGTTGCCTTAAAACAAACAAGCAAACAAATGAATAAACAAACAGAAACGAGTCTTGGTTTTCCACATGAAGGGCTTTTCTTTCCAGATAGGGTAAATTGCAATGGCCCCTGGGCCCTTGTCTGGATTCCGCCTCTGTGAGCAGCCGCACCTGGGCCTTGTGAGCGATTGGTGTCTTATTTGCATTATTTAATTAATTCCTCTTATTTTCCTTCATGGTAGCAGGGGCTCTGATCTCTTCCTCTGCTCCAAGCTCCCCTTGGCACCAGCTCCTCAGCAGGCTGTGGCTGTCAAGGCCGAAGGGTGCGACTGTCAAGACGGGGCAGGTGCTGTGCAGTGGAGCCCCTGGGAAATGGCCTAGGTGACAAGTGAGGCAGAAGGGCGGCACCTGGTGGCAGGGCACTGTCCACACGTCTGTCCAGGCCACCCCATCCAGGACTGTCCGACTGTCTGAATCAGCTCCTCCTGCAGGAGGTGAATTTTCCACTGTTTGATGTTCCAACATAGTCCTCTGGACCCACTGTGTGTCAAGCAAAAACACAGAGACCCTTCATCAAGGCGAATGCTCCAGATGTGGGTGGAAACAATGTAGTCCCTCCACCCACAGCATGAGGGCCGGGCTGGGGGGCAGACCAGGAGCACCAGTCAGGCGCTGTCTGTGTGGCACCTCCGACTCTTCTCCCCAGCAGTTCTGGGGCCGGGGATGTCATCTCCTCCTCAATCTTAGAGGTCGACTTGTGCAAAGCCTCATAGCTGAAAGGGCTGGCTTTCAGCCACAGGTCTGTAAAGCTCCAGGTTCTTGGTTTTACCCCCTCTAGGATGTCCCCTGAGCTGACCATTACATGGTCTGGGGAACTGGGGTGGGCATGTGGGAGGATTCTCTGGGGCCGTGGGTGTATTGCAGCTGGAAAGCCAAGGGGCTACCCCCAGCAGACGCTAACCTCGGAAAGTCTTGAGTTAGCAGTGTGGCTCTGAGGGGAATGGGATTCAGGTGAGGACGATCCCAGATGTCCCATGGATTTAGAAATCTCTGGATTACTGGTCCTTCGGTGCTGGCACAGTGGGTTGGTGAGAGGGCTGCTCTGTGGAACTCTGTTCAAACATTCCCCAGGCACCGACCACTCACCCTGGAGGAGTGTCCCCATCCCCCCTCCTTTGGGGTTCAAGATCGAATCCTAGCCTTTATGTCTATGCCCACCCGTGCTCGGCTCTCTCCTTCACTGCCAGCCTGGCTGAGCTGGCCCACTTGCACACATGCTTCCTGGCACCTACACACCTGGCCGGGTCCTCCACGCTGGGTTACTCCTCTTTGCTCTCCAATGGCTGGTACAGCCCTGCTCAGTTTTGGCTGAGGGTCTGCCTGCCAGACACATTCCAGGTACCCTGCACCCTTGCAGAGGAATACTGACCACCAGGGAGAACTGATTCTGCCTTAGAGGTGGCATTTAAAAAGACGAGTCCATTCGTTCATTTGTTCATTTGTTCACTCCCTCATTCATTAATTCATTCATTCACACACTCTGGCGTCACCTAGGTGCCTGGCACAAATGCAACGAGCACGAGCTGGGCTGGCACCTCTGAGGGGCTCTGAGCCTTGGTGGAAAGTTTTCTATACAGTCACCTTCCTCGTTGCTGTGCTGGTGACAGCAAGCCATCTCTGGGTGAGGGTGCTTTTGTGTCAAGGGAAGTCATTCCCCAGACTTCTCCAGGGCACAGTAAGTCGGCAGGGATACCCAACCATCCCATCCCAGGTGTCAGGGCTTGGCCAGCAAAGGCTGCCATGAACAGAGTCTGCATAGTCAACAGGATGGGAAAGCTGGAAAGATGGCCTCTGTCCCTAAGGAGTCACATCAAACCGGAAGGGTAGCACACTACGCCAGGATTAAGGCCCTAGCACTACGAGCCAGGTGACTATAGTGGGGTCCCAAGGCCAGGAATGCCCACCACGGTGGGCTCTGCATAGGGGGCACCCATGAGGACACCTAGAGACACATACACTCACCGCGCTAATGCTCAGCTGCTCAGGAGCGAGGCAGGTGCAGCTGCGTTCAAATCCCTGTGCCGCTGATTCTCAGCTGGGCGGCCTCAGGCCAGGTACTGAGCTTCTCCAAGCCTCAGTTTCCTCTTCTGTAAAATAACCCTGAGGGTCCTGGGTCTGTGCAAGGGTTCACTGATGCTGCGGTGAAGAATGTGCACAGGCAGGCTGGCGTGTCGGCGGGAAAGCAAACCGTCTCGTTTCTTCTCCTGCTTGGTTCCTGACTTCCTGACATCCCCATGGACACCAAGAGCAGCCAGGGACAGGAGACAACTGGGGAGCGGTGGCAGATGAGTTTGCCCAGGTGTGGCAGAGGGAGGATTTCCTGGCCAGGCTCAAGGGTCCTGTACCAGAAATCGGTAGTGTGAGGTCGAGGTGCCCCTCCCAAGGTGGGGGTCAGATGGGCACCTGAGCTCCCTCTCCTGATGTTCTTGGGGGGTTATGCACTGGCGGGGGGTGGGCTGGGGCCCCAGAGGCACTGCTGTTCTCCAGCCAGCTTGCTGTGTTCCACGTGGTTGTATTTATAACTTTGGTTTCTTGTTGTGTAAGTGGATCTTAACTGTGCTCTGCCTGGCACAGCTGGGTGGGCTGTGCCAATGGGGGCAGCCTGGCAAGGTGGTCTTCACCCTGGAGGGTGTCATGTGGTCTCTTGGCCTGGCCTAGGGGCCCTCACACAACATATTTTTTCTGAGGCAACCAGGGCTCATATTCAATGGCGGCTGCAGGAGGACCCAGGCCTGGACTCTGGGCCTTAAGCGCTCACATCAGCAATTTTGCCTGTGAACTTGGCAGGCCTGAGATCTGCCTAGGGGATTAGTGAAGCACACTTCTGAGTCTGGCTGTGTGGGTCATTGAGGTGTGCCTGTGGGGACTCTGTGGGGTCCCTGGCTGTTTCCTCTTTTGTTCTTTTCCCCTGTGTTCTGTCTCTTTGGCCACCAGGACATGAACAGCTTTGCTCTACCACATCTTCTGCCATGATATCCCTGCCTTGGAGTCAGTAGACCACGGACTAAACCCTCTGAAATGATGAGCCAAATTAAACCTCTCTTCCTTCTAGTTGTGGGTGTCAGATATTTTGTCCCAGTAATGGTAAAGCTGACTAATATAGACCCAGTGAGGTGGATTTTATTTTACAAAAGAGGAAACTGATGCTCAGCATGGTGATGCACAACTGTAATCCCAGCATCCTGGGAGGCTGAGTTAGGGGGATCTCAAGTTCCAGCCTAGCCTGGGCAACTCAGCATCTTAGTAAGATCTTGTTTCAAAATAAAAAATAAAGAGTGGAGATGTAACTCGATGTGCAGGCACTGAATTTAATTCCCAGTACCATAAGAAAAAGAGGAAACTGAAGTTCAGGGAGGTTCAATCACTTGCTGAAGGCCACACAACTAAGACTCATCTGCATAGGCATTGCACTCAGCAATCTGGCTCCAGAGTGCCTGAGTGCAGCATGCCTCCTGGATACTGATGTGTCCTGTCTCCTCAGCGAGAGGCAGCCCAACCTTGTTCTACTCTCCTCCTCAGCCTGGTTAAAGTGGCCTCCAAACCCCATCTCTCAGGTGGAGATCGGGGGGTCTCACCCCATTCCTCGCCAGGCCCCCAGCAGTCCTCGCCTGCTGACTCTATTGCTTCTGCCTGATGCCAGCTCTGGTCCAGCTTCCTCACTTCCTGCCTGGGTGGGGCCTCAGCCTCCTGGCTGATCTCTGACCTCCTTCCTGCTCTCCATCCTGCCTGCCCTGGCTACCTGCCAGTCTGGTTCTTCCCACTGCACACAGGCCCAAAGCCAGATCCGAAGGGTGTGCTTGACTTCCAACCCCACGATCCTGCCCCTGGCTGTTGACAGCACTCAGCAACCTGTTGTCCTCACAATGTACTTCATTGTTCCATGACTCCATTCCTTACTCATGTTTCCTCTGCCCAGAGCTCCCACCCTCACCCCTTGTCTGCTTGGGAAGCTCTTATTCACACATCAAAACCCAGCCTCCAGCCTTCCTGCATTCTCTTTCCTCTCTTGGGCTACTTCTAACTAATCTGAACATGTGGTACCATTGTCCTTGTCACTTGATGATACTGATCTGCTCACCAGTCCTTACTCCTCTTTGGACTCCAAGTTCCCATGGAAGGTACTAGAAGCTTGTCTGCATTCCCAGTGTCCAGCTGAGCCTGGCTTTCAGTGATGCTAGTCAGGTGGAACTGGATGACCTTGGTCCTGACTCACTCTGCATCTTCAGGAGGCTCCTGCTTGTGTCTGGACTTGTAAACCCCTTCAAGGCCATCTGTGATTTTCTAAAGGGCTCGCCCTTCTCCTGCGTTGTCCACACACTCTGCTGTGTGGACTTTCTTGTGACTCAGGCTGTCCTCCTGCTTCTCCACTCACAGATATGGCTGCAGTGAGGCCAAACACCATGAGGTAGCATTTGCTCTTGAGAAGGGACGCTTTCCAGCCAAGTTGGCTGGTAAGTGATTTTTCTGCAAAGTAGAATAATTGGCTGAATGTTCCCATGGCAACAGAGCCTTTCCTGGAAACCGCTGGAGGTAGAGGGAGGCTCTGGCTCTGCTGGGCGCCACAGGGCCCCATGTGGGGCCAGCAGAGTTGGTGGTGCTGCCCAGAGTCCTGCTTCCTCTGTGCACTGCCCTGCCTGGGCCTCTCGTTGCTCTCTGCCTGCCTCCCCAGGCCTCAGGAACATTTCATGCCGCTGCCCTGGAAGAGCTCCTGAGTGCATGCTCGCCTTTCCCAGAGCTTGTCCCCTTAACCTCGTGTTAAGAGAAAGTGTGGGTTTTAATAACTATATTACTCAAGCAGGGCATGCATTCATGATTCACCCAGTGCTCTTGTAGCCACTGCCATGGGATTCTCCAAAAAAGGCCTTGGAAGATTCTGCTATTCACAGCCCACTTCCCAGAAGGCCACTGAGCCTGGCACTGAGGACGTGACTGGGAGCACAAAGAGGCCAGAGGTGTGGCCAGCTGCTGGGCAGCAGCAGCCCAAACACTCTTCAGCACAGGCATTGTCTTCACCATGCCGGGAGGCAGGGAGAGGAGGTGATCTTCCCTTAATCTCCCTTCTCCTAGCCTGGAACCCCAGGAAGAGTAGC